TGCTGAACCTGAAGCAAGCAGAGGAGGCAAAAACTGCTGACACAGCCATTCCATTTCACTCTACAGATGACCCTCCCCGACCTACCTTTGACTCCTTGCTTTCTTGGCACATGGCAGGGTACATGCCAGCTCAAGCAGATTTCAATGAGGAGTTTGACAATTATGCAGAATGGGACTTGAGAGACATTGATTTTGTTGAAGATGACTTGGACATTTTACACACTCTGAAGATGGCTGTTGTAGATATCTATCATTCTAGGTTAAAGGAGAGACAAAGGAGAAAAAAAATTATAAGAGACCATGGATCAATCAACCTTAGAAAATTTCAGTTAATGGAACGGCGGTATCCCCAGCTAGTCCAAGACCTTTATGAAACAATGAGGCGATTTGCAAGGATAGTGGCACCAGTGGAGCATGACAAGTTCATTGAAAGCCATGCATTGGAATTCGAACTCCAAAGGGAAATCAAGAGGCTCCAGAAATACAGGACAGCAGGCATTACCAATTTTTGTAGTGCCAGAACCTAGGATCACCTCAGAAAGACTCCAGAAGAGGAACGTCTCAAATGCCCTATGCTCTCAGAGGTTCTCCAGTACATCCAGGACAGTAGCGCCTGACAGCAGTGGCTCCGCCGGCAGGCTGACATTTATTCTGGCCTGAGTCCTTCCGTAACAATGACTTCGAATTCAGGTAGACGAAGTGCACCGCCCTTGAACCTCACTGGCCTCCCTGGCACAGAGAAGTTGAATGAAAAAGAAAAGGAGCTCTGTCAGATGGTGGGGTTGTTCCCAGGAGCCTATTTAGAATACAAATCTGCTCTACTGAACGAATGTAACAAGCAAGGAGGCTTGAGACTGGCACAGGCAAGAACACTCATCAAGATAGACGTGAACAAAACATGGGAAATCTATAATTTCCTCATCCGAGAAGGATACATCACTAAAGCCTGAGGCTCTCTGGGCCTAGTGGGCCAAAGGACAGTATGGGCATTCTGGAGTTTGTTTCTGAGCTGAATTCTCCTTGTAAAAAGAGGGGAAGAAACAAAGGAAACCGTAACTTGTATTAATGTCTACTTTCTTCTCCACCCTGCTTTAAAATACTCCTGTTGTTGGTACTGTGCTGCAGAGTTATGTGCTAGATAAGCTATTATTAATTGTGTGTGGGCATTCATTCCTAACACCTCTTGTAACGAAAACAAGGACCATGGTACCTCACATCACAGTGTTGGTAGAAATAGAACTAAACCAGTCTTTAGTCCCAGGAGTCCAGCTCAGGTCCTTGTACTTGCTTGGGAGGTTGGTTTTCTGATTATCTGTTTTGCCTTCAAACATTACAAACGGATTTAAAATAAAGAGGTTATATATAGAGAAAGCTTTCTTTTTATGTCTGAGGATGTTTTTTAAGCTGACAACTTATGTTTATGAACAAAGAGGAGGAAAATCTCCCCATGATGGTCTTGTCCCAAACTGCATCTTCAATCTTAATGTCTGGCTTTGTAATTTGCAGTCTGGCTGTCTAATCTGCAGTAGACTTTTGAGGAGGTGGCACCGGATATAAAATGTCTCTGTTATTTTTAGAATTAATGGATTAAAATGTTTTGCTACTTAATTTGTGGGTGTGTCAAATATTCTGGTAACTAAAGCACACTTAGGGTGTTGGATGCACACCACATCATGCTGCACTGTCTCTGCTAACATGTGTGTCCTGGGCTCACCCTGTTCTCACCCTTGGCTTCCCTGGGTGCCAGACCCCTGTGGATGGAGGTGATGCAGTTAACCTCAGTGTTGCTTAGATTAAGACCTAAACCCTAATTTCTCAATGGTGAAACGCTAGCCTACGATAAGGAGTTACTTGTAAAACAAAAGGAAAGCCTTTTCATATATGGAACTCACTAGATATGAGGATGAGTGACCCCACCATATCTGAAACTTGGTCCTCAAATCTTTCTGCACAATAAGAAGCCAAACCCTGAGTCAGGGTTTTCCCTTCTCTGTTAGAAGCAAAGTTGTATAGAAATGCATCAGAATCCGCACAAATTACCTCCAGTAGCTGACTGATTCTTTAATTCTTTCAACGTTCAAAATATCTAATTCACATATTACATGCCTTGTTGGAAGTATCTGCTCAAACTTCTTGACTGCTGTAAATATGCATGCAGTTTGCTAATAGACTTCATCTAGGGGGTAACAAATGAAATGGAAACTCTTAGGATCTGAGGGAAACAGAATAAAAGACTTCAGTGTTTAAAAAAATTTTTTTAGGGCTTCCCTGGTGGCGCAGTGGTTGAGAGTCCGCCTGCCGATGCAGGGGACACGGGTTCGTGCCCCGGTCCGGGAAGATCCCACATGCCGCGGAGCGGCTGGGCCCGTGAGCCATGGCCGCTGAGCCTGCGCATCCGGAGCCTGTGCTCTGCAACGGGAGAGGCCACAACAGTGAGAGGCCCACATACCGCAAAAAAAAAAACAAAACAAAACAAAATTATTTATAAACTGTATCACAGACAAAGGACCTTCCTCTATAATATATAAAGAGTGCTTAGAAATTGAGAAGAAAAAGGTTAATGACTATATAGGAAAATGAGCAAAAGAAATGAAGTTTTCAGGTAAAGAAATATAAGTGGCTTTTAAAGTATGAAGAAATACTTGAAATAATTCATGATAGAGAAATGCTAACTAAAAACTTCAGCAATGTATCACTTCTCACCCATCAGATTGATAAAAATCTAAAAGATTTTGCTCATGTTCAATTTTATTAGCTGATCCAAATTTACTTTTAAATAGGTTGCATAAATATATACTCTCACTAGTAATGTGTGAGAGTTTCTTTTCTCTACAGATCAACAAGAAAAAGATAGACCACCCAATTAGAAATGAGCAAGATGCTTGAATTAACAGAAAATTAGAAAATCCAGGAAAGTGTTAGCTCTGTGGAGGATGGAGAGGGAAGAAATTGGATAGGAGTAAAGGCTAATAGGCTGTAGAGTAAATAGCCTCCTTTTTCACCTGGCAGGTGAGTACAGGCTTCCATTTTAATGCTTTAATTCTTTAAAGAATATAGGTATGTTCTACACGATTCTTTTGCTTGTATGGCTTACTTTGCAGTGAGCTTTTATTTATTTATTTTTTAAAAGTAGCCTGCAGCCTCTAATGTTCTGACATTTGTTTATATCTCCTTAGTGTTTCAGCATTGGTAGGCATGTGGTCTGAGTCCAAAGAGACAAAGGTGAAGATTTAAACAACTGGCTTTACTATAAAAAAATTCGTTTGTTTTAATCCCTGTCTGCCCCAGAACTCAACTGTCATTTCCACACCTCAGGTTCTGTCCCTGACAACACCCAACTTCTGGGTATTCATTTTTATTACTCTGAACTATGGTAGCAATGACAAAATACCTTCTCAGACTAGCTTAGGCAGAAAGCCAATTTACTGGGTCATAACTGAACTAGGGGAAGGGTGTGGGAAGAGCTGCTCTCAAGATAAAGGGGAATGAAGGGCTGGCTTGTGCCTTCCAAATCCTCTCTCACCATCATTTCTCTGATTTTCTAAGTGAATTAGTTTCCTTTTTCTCGCACAGTTAACCTACTCTCACACTGGAACCATAGCTTCTGGAGTTCCCAGGCTCATTTCTACCACCTTTACCAAAAGGAGGGACTTCCCCCTTCCCCTTAGTGTCTATTCAAATAAAGGACGTCAGTAGACCTGAGACACACACACACACACACACACACACACACACACACACACACCCTGCTGTGACTGGGTGTCAGGCTTTCATGATCAGCAGTCCCCATTAGATTCCTAAGTTGATGGTACAAAGAAAAAAGAGTTCTTCAGAAGAAACAGCATGCTGTTCTAAGGAGGAGGAAGCCATGTTGGATGTATGCACTGTAGATGTCCACCTTACAGATGATTTATATTTTCTTCCTTTCATTTTATGGGTGTTTTCTCTCTTCTGACTGTGATTTCAAGGGCATCATGCCATTCCAGATGTCAAATTGCACCTTCCCTGTTACTTTCTTGGGGCATTTCAGAGACTACCTGTGAAATGGAAAAGTATACTGATTAGTCAGTAGACGTCCAAGGCAAACATGCCTTTGAGAGTTTTTCTTGGGGTTTTCTTGGGGTTTCTCGGGGTTTCTTGGGGGAGAGAATGAAAGAAAGGCCCAGCTTGATGCTGGGAGGGGTAAACTGTTAGGGTAGGTCTGGGTGGGTCTTGCAGGAACAGGGAGTAACTAGGGAACACCTTGGCTATGAAAACTGAACACCAGACCTACCACTGACTTGTTAAATGACCATGGGTGATTCCTTTCTCTTCTTTGGGCTCCATATTCTTTCTATTCTAAGTATGAAGAATTTGGCTGTAACGGTGCCCAAGGGTCAGCCAGCCCTGCTTCTTTGTGAGAAAGTGAGGGAGCTATTGGGGCTATCAGAGATGATGCAACAGTAACTGCCATTTCTCCCCGTGAATAATCCTTGGGGAAGGGCCCAGGGTCCTTCCCAGGATGGAGGTGGGTATTTCCTGGTAGAACTAAGAAAATGTACCCCTTGTGCCTGGTGAAACCACAGACCCACCCTTGGCACCCGGCCAAGCTGGAGCTGCATAAAACTAGGCTTGGCCTCAGCTGTTAGCCATTCACCTTCCTGACAACATGAAGTCCAGAAACTTCTTGATCCCAGTGGTGGTACTTCTTGTCCTTGGGACGCTGGTGGCACAGGCAGCTGTCGTAAGAGGTGAATGGGGAAGTGGCGTGGGTGGGGCTGGGTTGGGTTGAGGAGAGGATGTTGGGGGCAGCCTGGGTACTGACGGGGAGTACCTTCAAAGCAGCAGGCAGGGCTAGAGCCCACTCTTCAGCCTGGACAGTAGGTTTCCAGCGTATCCAGAGAAGTAGGAAGTTGCCTACTAGACTCTACATGCTTTTTCCACCCCAGGACTGAGATACCAGGGCTGTTTGTGGAAGAAGTGTTGTTACATGACCTTGGCCTCAAGTGTTGATACTTGGACAGAACGTTCAATGAAGTGAGGGGTCCCAGGAATCTGGTCCCTAGATGTGGGGTCTGTCCCCTGCCTGTCTGCCCTGTAAAATCACCTGTCATCAGTCCTCTAAGAGAAGGTTAAGAACCAACAGGGCCTCAAAAAATCATGTAGTTTGAAGACCCCTATTTTCCAAAGGAGGACATTGAGACCTAGGGAGGGGTGAGGATTTGTCAAGACAGTCTCCAGAGCCAGGACGGAGCTCAGGTCTCCTGGTAAGTGTCTCACGGCTCCGTTCCCTTCCATTAAGTTTCCTGAAAGATGCCAAAGTGACACCTCTGAAAGACACTTCAGTCTGGCATATCCTCGTGAGGGCCCTAGGACCCAGAATGGAGGGTGACGGGAAGAAACGGACACCCGAGGAACCCCGGTCCCAGCCTTCCAAGAGCACAGACCCCAGCTAGCCCTGGTGACCCTCCCCTATCTCAAGTCACATTTTGAGGGACACTGCAGTGAACAGTGGCTGGACCTGGAGGAAAGACTAGATAGTTAAAGCAGATACACTGTTCTAAATGTGGGGATATTTCTTTGTTGTCCTAAAGGTCAAGGCACTACGAAAGGCAATGTTCTGATCAAAGGACAAGATCCAGTCGAAGGACAAGATCCAGTCGAAGGTCAAGATCCAGTCGAAGGTCAAGATCCAGTCAAAAGTCAAGATCCAGTCAAAGGACAAGATCCAGTCAGATTCCCATGGATCACGAAGCGTGGCTCCTGCCCCAGGATTGTGTACCAGTGCACCATTTTCAATCCCTCTAACAAATGTTTGACAGATGCTGAATGCCCGGGGGCCAAGAAGTGCTGTGTGGGCCGTTGCGGGACAACCTGTATGTATCCCCGGTGAGGTGAGAACTGGGTGGAGGAAGAGGTGACCTGTGAAGGCACAGAAAGGCTGAGCAGTGGAGAGTGATCCTAGGTTGGTGGGGGAGGGGACATGGGGTCTCGTCCTGAGACGGATGACAAGTGGACTTGGTCCTGCCTCCCACTGCCTCTGAGTCTTTGACCAGCTGAATCACGTCTCTGATTCTCTTTTCTCATACCAGGTGGAGTCTGTTCTTGCTGCACCTGTGAAGTCCCCAGGGATGCAGATCCTGGTGCCTGTAGCACTACCCTCTCCCGCACTGCCCATTCTTGCTTTCATCCGGGTGCCCAAACCTGGGATGCCTCTCTCATGGACTTTCCAATAAAAGACCACTTTCTACTCCATTTGTTTCTGGCTCCTATGACTTCTGGGCTCCTGGAAGCTCTGGGGAGATGGGTGTGGAGTTGGGACTCCCAGTCCCCAGTGGCGAGTGGAGAGAGACCCACAGCAGATGCTACTGATGTGTGAAGGAGAGCGGGGGCAGGAACGAAAGGCCCATTCCTAGGGTTCATTGTAGAAATCCAATAATCAACCCAAGAACTGCAGCCTCTATTTCACCAGGAAATGGAAACCTAGACATTTTGCCTTTGGCCTTGGACCGGAGAAATAAAACCCAAAACCTTTCCAATTGACCCCTACTTCTGACCTGGCTATGATCAACCCTGTCAGTGAGACTAGCCAACCCTTGTGGCTAAATCTATAGCTCCCTCCTTTTCCTTTCATGTTTTCCAGGGATCTATGTCCTCCCAAGAAGACATAGAAACACATGCTGGGAAATCCCTGCTCATGAAGCATTTCTCCTATTCATGCCTGAGATGCCTCCCATAACACATAATTCCTTTGGGTTAAGCAATATCCTCTCCCAGCTTTCTATTTTAAGATGTGAATGAGGATGCAAGACACACTGAGTCCGTGATCCTTTCTTGTGATTGCTGAATAATGTTCTCTGGAGATGTACAAGTTGGGGTAGAGCAGACTCGAGGAGTGAAGACAGCAGAAGGGTGTACGTTGGGCAAACTTGGATGACCTCGTGGCTCTGCTGTTGGCTCACCTGCCCCACTGTCCTTGTGCAATGAAGTTCTCAGGGAAGGTCAAAGCCACAGGGGGAGGAGCATTTGGGGTGAAGTGGGCAGAGCACGGGCTTGGGCCTCAGGAGACCTGAGTTCTAGCCCCAGCCTCCTCCCCAATTGTTGGATGACCTCAGACAAATCTCTGAGCCTCAGTTGTCTACTCATTCTGAGGGGGGTTGAATGAAATTATTCTGGAAATATAATAATGAATGTCAGTTCAGCCCTGACATTATGGCCCTGAAACACCTCTTCTTTCTGTGTGTGTGTTGGGCTCCTGCTAGAGGGGAGGTGGGGAGCAGAGGCTTTGTTGGGGGTGAGAGAACAGAGAGCCCGCTGCCCCTTGGTCCCTCCCAGCAGCCTACAAGCCAGGGTTTCCCTCTCATTCTCCAGGGGATGGACTGGACTGTGCATCTTGGAGCACAGGTGAAAGCAGTGGCTAAACTTCTGGCCTGACAAACACATAATACACCATTGGTGGTAAGAACAGTTTCTGTGTTTTAGTGTTTTCTCTGTTCCAGATCCTGTACTAAATACGTTATCTGTATTGTCTTATTTATTTTTCATTAGAACTCTCTCAGATGGGTAGTATACACATCTCTAATTTTGTTAAGAGATTGAAGCCATGAAAGCTTCACTTAATCACCCAAACACACACAGTGAGTATGTGATGATAAATCCTATTTAAAAATTAAACTAAATCCTATTTTTATTTTTAATTTTTTTGGCTGCACCACGTGGCTTATAAGATCTTAGTTTCCCAACCAGGGATTGAACCCCGGCCCACGGCAGTGAAAGCACTGAGTCCTAACCACTGGACTGCCAGGGAATTCCCGTAAATCCTATTTTTATTATAAACTAGCAATAATCAGAAAATGGAATGGAAAAAAATTCCCACTTATAATATCAACACAATTAAACCGCTCAACAAATAAACTTAATGAGAGACAGGCAGAACTTTTAAAAAGAAATGTAAACAAGCGTTCATGTAGCACATAAAAAAGTCTTGAATAGATAATTAACATGCTCCCGAATGTGAAGATTCTGTATGGTGAAGATAGCAGTATTTACCCCTTCGATTCTGTCTCTTTTCCCCCAGATTTATTTATTTATTATTATTTTAAAATAAATAAATTTATTTATTTATTTATTTTGGGCTGCGTTGGGTCTTCCTTGCTGCGCACAGCCTTCCTCTAGTTGTGGCGAACGAGGGCTACTCTTCGTTGCAGTGCGTGGGCTTCTCATTGTGGTGGCTTCTCTTGTTGCAGAGCATGGGCTCTAGGGGTGTGGGCTTCAGTAGTTGCTGTGCGTGGGCTCAGTAGTTGTGGCGTGCGGACTTCAGTAGTTGTGGCTCGCAGGGTCTAGAGCACAGGCTCAGTAGTTGTGGCGCACGGGCTTAGTTGCTCCGTGGCATGTGGGATCTTCCTAGACCACGGCTTGAACGCGTGTCCCCTGCATTGGCAGCCGGATTCTTAACCACGGCACCACAAGGGAAGCCCCCTCCCCCCACCTTTAATGAGATAAAAATTGACATATAACATGAATGTTTGAGGTGTACAATGTGGTGATTTGATACATGTATACCCTGCAAAATGTTTACCACAATAAGAATAGTTAACAAATCCTTCACGTCGTGTAATTACCATTTTGTTTTTGCTGTTGTTATGATGAAAACATTAAAGCTCTACTTTCATAGCAACTTTCAAGGATAAAATACTTTTGCCCCTGCACACCCTCCCTTGGTGATTTTGGCACCGGATTTACAAAACAATCCAAGCAAGGGGTTAGGGACAAAGAAAAGTCTGTGGGTAGATGTACTTTCCCCTCCTCTCCTTTTTTTTAACATCTTTATTGGGGTATAATTGCTTTACAATGGTGTGTTAGTTTCTGCTTTACAACAAAGTGAATCAGTTATACATATACATATGTCCCCATATCTCTTCCCTCTTGCAACTCCCTCCCTCCCCCCCTCCCTATCCCACTCCTCTAGGTGGTCACAAAGCACCGAGCTGATCTCCCTGTGCTATGCGGCTCCTTCCCACTAGCTATCTATTTTACGTTTGGTAGTGTATATATGTCCATGCCACTCTCTCACTTTGTCCCAGCTTACCCTTCCCCCTCCCCGTGTCCTCAAGTCCATTCTTTAGCAGGTCTGCATCTTTATTCCTGTCTTGCCCCTAGGTTCTTCCGACCATTATTTTTCTTTTTTTTTTATTTAAGATTCCATATATATGTGTTAGCATACAGTATTTGTTTTTCTCTTTCTGACTTACTTCACTCTGTATGACAGTCTCTAGGTCCATCCACCTCACTACAAATAACTCAGTTTTGTTCCTTTTTATGGCCGAGTAATATTCCATTGTATATATGTGCCACATCTTCTTTATCCGTTCATCTGTCGTTGGACACTTAGGTTGCTTCCATGTCCTGGCTATTGTAAATAGAGCTGCAATGGACATTTTGGTACATGACTTTTTTTGAATTATGATGTTCTCAGGGTATATGCCCAGTAGTGGGATTGCTGGGTTGTATGGTAGTTCTACTTTTAGTTTTTTAAGGAACCTCCATACTGTTCTCCATAGTGGCTATATCAATTTACATTCCCACCAACAGTGCAAGAGGGTCCCCTTTTCTCCACACCCTCTCTGGCATTTATTGTTTGTAGATTTTTTGATGATGGTCATTCTGACCGGTGTGAGATGATAAATCATTGTAGTTTTGATTTGCATTTCTCTAATGATTAATGATGCTGAACATTCTTTCATGTGTTTGTTGGCAATCTGTATATCTTCTTTGGAGAAATGTCTATTTAGGTCTTCTGCCCATTTTTGCATTGGGTTGTTTGTTTTTTTGATATTGAGCTGCATGAGTTGCTTGTATGTTTTGGAGATTAATCCTTTGTCAGTTGCTTCATTTGCAAATGTTTTCTCCCATTCTGAGGGTTGTCTTTTGGTCTTGTTTATGGTTTCCTTTGCTGTGCAAAAGCTTTTAAGTTTCATAAGGTCCGATTTGTTTATTTTTGTTTTTATTTCTATTTCTCTAGGAGGTGGGTCAAAAAGGATCTTGCTGTGATTTATGTCATGGAGTGTTCTGCCTATGTTTTCCTCTAAGAGTTTGATGGTGTCTGGCATTACATTTAGGTCTTTAATCCATTTTGAGTTTATTTTTGTGTATGGTGTTAGGGAGTATTCTAATTTCATTCTTTTACATGTAGCTGTCCAGTTTTCCCAGCACCACTTATTGAAGAGACTGTCTTTTCTCCACTGTATATTCTTGCCTCCTTTATCAAAGATAAAGTGACCATGTGTGCGTGGGTTTATCTCTGGGCTTTCTATCCTGTTCCATTGATCTATATTTCTGTTTTTGTTCCAGTACCATACTGTCTTGATTACTGTAGCTTTGTAGTATAGTCTGAAGTCAGGGAGCCTGATTCCTCCAGCTCCATTTTTCTTTCTCAAGATTGCTTTGGCTATTTGGGGTCTTTTGTGTTTCCATACAAATTGTGAAATTTTTTGTTCTAGTTCTGTGAAAAATGCCAGTGGTAGTTTGATAGGGATTGCATTGGATCTGTAGATTGCTTTGGGTAGTAGAGTCATTTTCACAATGTTGATTCTTCCAATCCAAGAACATGGTATATCTCTCCATCTATTTGTATCATCTTTAATTTCTTTCATCAGTGTCTTACAATTTTCTGCATGCAGGTCTTTTGTCTGCTTAGGTTGGTTTATTCCTAGATATTTTCCTCTTTTTGTTGCAGTGGTAAATGGGAGTGTTTTCTTAATTTAACTTTCAGATTTTTCATCATTGTTTTATATCAATTTTATGGAGAGGAATTTAGGAAGAAATGCCTTTCACAATTTCACTGAGCAAATAAGGGCCACCAAGATCTGGTTCCCTGTTTCCTAGACCAGTGTT